GAATCCAGTAAATTGAATCCAGACGCTACTCTTCATCTTCTTCATACTCATCTTCGAGTTGCGAGTCATTAAGTGGAACTGCGTCAAACCATCGGCACAGTTTTGTCCCTCACTGAATCTGGAGATCTGTGGAAGAGATAATAAAAAAGTGGTTGAAATTGATCTCGTTAAAACAATTTCTTATATGTGCATGCCAATTTTCGTAAAAATCCGAGATGATCGAGCTCACTCCCTGGTCGAATTGGCGTGGAATGACCCAGGATAAAGAAAGAGAAAGGGCCTAGGATCGGATCGCCTAGCGGAAGCTGAAAGAAAAGCAGGCCGGGGCCTGATTAGGCTTAAATGTGCAATCTCCGCGGGCTAGGCTTAGCTGCATCGGATAACACGAAGCCTCGAGACGAGACAAACGAGACAAACGAGACAGACGAACAGACGAGGCACAGGAAGACTGCAGGGAGGTGGAGGGGTCTGCGTGGAATGGCGGGAGGCAGCGGACTGTCCATCAACCGGCCTAACAGTGTTGCCGTTGGATTCAGAACACATTTCTCAGACGAATTACGCGTTGGACAAAAGACGGCAACATTTACACTCAGCTTAAATCATGAACGACCAATAATAATTGTCGTGCTTAATTCGTGATGTCGTGAATTGTCCAACGGGGAGGATTATGAACTGCGACTCACCTAGGATATTTCTGACCGCGCCATTGTCCTTTGACTTCACACCATTCTCCAATTGTTCGATTCCCATCCGGCAACACTGCATGGGAACGGGAAGGGACAAGGGATGACCAGTCGCTGGACAGGCTCTCTCGCGGGTCGTCCTCGCTCGTTCCTCGTCGGGTTTTGTGATGTTGCTGGGTGCTGAACTGTGAGTTAGCGAAACTCGTGAGTTGTTGAAGCGAGTTTCTTCGGTTTGACTCGATTCATTTGTGCTGCTTTCGGCCCTGGGAATCGCGAAACTTTAGATTTGCGTGATGAGTCGACTTAGCCGATGTTTTTATGGCCTGATCGACATATTTGCTTGCCGCCTATGTTGGCCTTCGCCATTTGGTGCATCCGAGGTTTTCCACGAAAATTCGCAGGTTTTCTGAGTTTGACGATGAAGAAACGAATGCAAAGTGTAGCTCGACCTTGGAAACTTATTGAGAGCACGAGGTCGGGGCCATTTAACAGCCTGTTCAAATAGAAAGGTTTGCAAATAAGATAAAGGGCTAATAAGAGTAGAGAGGGTTTCGACCCGGGTGTGAAAAAGATAAGGTAAATGCGGAAATACAGCTGCGGCTGCACGGGTAGGGCAATGGGCTTTCCTCCGTTTCGTCCTGGATCGAATTTGCTTTTACGGCTCTCTTTGTGGTTGGCGGGGGGGGGGCGAAGAAAGTGGGGGCGAGGGCGAGGAAAGCGGGGGCGAGGGCGAGGAAAGCGGGGGCGAGGGCGAGGAAAGCGGGGGCGAGGGCGAAGAAAGCGGGGGCGAGGGCGAGGAATATGTTTTTATGATCCCGACAGCTCGTGGCAAGACATGCTGCCCTATTAGGACTGGCAGCTTTTGTGCATTTTGCGTCTTGATCTTGGGATTTGCGTGCAAAAATGGTGTTTTGTGACTGCCGAATGTCAAGATTTCTCTGTGTTTATATATTATTCGTCAGTCTTTTCCCCGGCAAGTCGAAATTAGTCGAACAGGCATATTGTGGCTCGAAGATTTTAAGAAACGTCCAAGAAAACCATTGAAGCTTCATAAGGGGATGATGTCCTTTTGAAGCAATGAAACACTTATGACTATCTCCATTTAAAATACGGCACCTGGCGGGTTTCAGATGGCAAAGATGGAAACCGGAGTTCCCTCGGCAATTCTCCCCCATCAGACATAAATAAATTTGGCATGTATCCTCCACGAAGTCAATAATTTATCGGACAAAAACTCTGATTTATGCGATAGTTTCACCTCGAACGACAAAACTCATGGAGTTTTGTCGCCCTCGTGAGTCACGGGAGGAAGCCCCCAGGTGATAATATTTATTGTTATTATCTGGAAATGCGAAGAATGGGCTTCTGGGCTCTAAGATAGGCCGGATTCCTTCGTGGATAACACACAATAATATAGCCATATAACTGTAAGCGACTCGGGCAATATATTGAGATGCTCCTTCCAAAAATAGCGACATATCATCAGGGCCATATAAGTGGATGGCGTTGAAAGGTCGAATTTCCTCATCGATACCCAGGCAGAAAGCTTCATGAATGGAAAGCTGGATGATCCCTTTATAGATAGGTCCAATAGGAAACCTGTAGATATTTCTTATAAGAAACCGATAGACCTTTTCCAATAGGTTTTGGAAAAACGAAAAACCAATAGGATCCTATGGGATCCCTATAGGGCCGAGTAAGAACCCTGGCCTATAGGATTCGGGGAGGATTTTTGGTTTCGGAAATCCTGGCGTTACAACGTGAATGTCAACGGGGGTCAATATTGGCGGAGCATTTTGGTGCAAATTAATTACCGAATAGGGATTTTGCCATGTTGGGGAACTTGTATTCTATTGGTAGCAATGCTTACGCCTGCGTAATTTATTATCCGTACATCCCCGTATGTCACTGGAATGTGCTGGATAGCGCGTCAACTTCCTTCAGTAGAGAGGAGAATAATTCGTCTCTCGGCCCAATGAAATGGCTGCGAATAAAATGAACGTGCGAACACCTCTCTTTATTGAAAGTCCTTTCTGCTTTTTCTCCTACGTTGGTCTTATAGGGAATATGAGCAGATTTCAGGCATGGACTCCATGATTCCACCCGTAAGAAAGGAATGACAAATAAGGAAGTGTCGAAGTTTCTTGATTGCTACAATGAGGCAAGGTGAGACATTTGGGGATGTACAAAACACTCCTGTGAGAGATGATTCCATGAATAAAGAGGAGGCCACTTTTGTTTACAGTGAGAAATACGAGAACATCGTAACTCCATCTAGTGGCTTAGAGGAGAACTTCAAACGGAACCCTGTAGCATTGGTTCCCAATTTTTTTTTTCTTGCGGCACACATAAGGACACTTGAACTTTCCACGGCACACCCAGCCATTTACTTACTTTCAATGGGAAACTTGTGCTTGCTTCGCTGAACACAGCAGTTTGATACGAGCGGTGATAGTGCAACTCGTTCGTTTTCCACTGAGAGATGGCGTTCCCTCTTGTTTTTTAGTTTTTATAGTTTCAGGTTTTTAGTTTTTTTGTCACCTCTCAAATCTCACGGTACACCTAAGCCTTACTGGTGGCACACCAATGTGCCGCGGCACACCTTTTGGGAAACACTGCCCAATAGGTCCCATAGGGAACCGTACAGGTCCTATAGGGCACCCTACAGGCCCTATAGTGAACCTATGGGATTCTTATATGTTCCAATAGGATTCCTATACGTATATTCCTAAAGGAATATATAGGAATCTTATAAGACATTTTCGTAAGGGATCCCTTACGAAAATCTCTTAAGTAATTATAAAGGAATGTAAGGGAATCCTATCGGTTCCCTATAGGACCTTTTGGTTCCCCTATACAACCTATAGGGTCCCCTATAGGACCCATAAGGTTCTGTATAGGCTTTCCTATAGGGTTCCGTTTGAAGTTCACCTTTAGACCACTAGATCAGATTTGTTTGCCTGAAGGGCAAACAAACTCGCTAGTTATAAATACAAATGTCCCTCCCATGGGAAAACCCCTACTCGGTAATTTATTCTCACCCGAATGCGGCGCCAATATTGACCCCGGTGGGCATTCCGTTGTAATGCTAGGGTTTCAAAACCCAAAAAATCCTTCCCGTATCCTATATGTCAGGAGTCCTATACGACCTTGTAGGGATCTTATAGGATCCGATCGGTTTTTCGTGTTTCAAAGACCTATAGGTCTATATATTTATATATCTATTCGTTTCCCATAGGGCATTTCCGTAAGGGATGAAAATGAGTGAAAGACTTCTTGCAGCTTATTCCAGCTGGTTCAACGATCCAACAAAGCAACGCGACTCCACCACACCGACTGGTTCCCGCCGGTAACTCCTTTCTCCGTGGAAGAGCAAGCCATTTTGTGAAATGAGATCTTCGAAGGAAAGATGGGGATGAACAGAGACGGGCAGACCGTCTGCTCCACTCGCGAAGCAGACGGTCACGGAAGAGGCCGCGGGAAAGGTCCATTTTGCGCGCGTAGCTCTTCATTCTCACTTCAACGGTTATTGTGGATTTACGATTATATGTTTTCTAACCATATTTTCTCTTCATTCTCGACTTCCTGGCTACGCCTATGCCGAATTTAAGTGCAAAATTAAAAAAAGCGTAATGCTCCACCTACAAACAGTGCAACAGGACAAAACAAAGCTCAGAGAATTGTTCAGGAAAAAAATGCCAAGACAATGTTCTCAACACCTCCTATTTAGCCAATATCAAGAGTTTATGAATCTTATATTTTTTATTCAATTACACGAATCGTACCTTCTCCCCTTTGAAAACGGTGGAGCGTTCTTTTCTAATCAACAACAGCGCCCTCTATCGGGATACAGCGCCACCTCGTGGAAGTGAAAAGAAAACCTCTTAGACTCATGAACCTTTCTGTTAAGTATCAGCTGGATCCAACTGTCCCATGAAAAGTTCATTGAACTCTGAGGCGGTCGAGCAGAGGTAATTGCCTCTCTTAAGGGGGAATGACCCACTTCGAAGTGCCTTTAATTCACCTCTAAACGGGCATTGCACGACTTAGGCAGAGGGGTGCTGAAAGAAAAGCTGGCAAGCATTTCAACACCTTGTAACTGTCAAATATCGATCGCGTATCCGATGTAATTTTTTTTCTGCACTTATGAAATTTGTTTCTCCCATAGAAAACGGTAGAGCGTTTTTTTTAAACCACCCTTTAGGTATCCCTTTTTTTAACCACCATAGGAGAATACCGTTGAACAATCTCGTATTTCACGCCTCCATTCTTGGGCTCCACCCACTCGTAAAAATCAGGGGCACAACCTGCATCGAAATAATATCCTCACACTTCCACTTTTTACCTTGAGCAGAACAATGTACGCCCTCTTTGCACTTTCCACATCTTCACCTGCTATCAAGCACTCACGTTCCCCACAGAGCGGAGACAGCTGATAAGTCGGCTTATCAGGCCAACGCCGCACAATAACACACACGCGCGATCTCGCCACAGTGATCCTGTGCCCATGCACGCCCCTGGCCCGCGAATTTTTATTGTGTATTATGCAATCGATTCTTATCCGGTGTCGACGGATCCCCTGAAATATGGGCTCGGTGTCGTCTCCGACCCAACCACTCCTGGCTGAGCAACCGCAGGCCACCTACCACACCATGCCATCCCCAACGGGCGGCGCCGGCAAGTCCGGCATCTTCGTGCCCAAGAAGATCGCCATCCTCCTCGCGGTCGTCGTCGTCGGCGCCATCGTCGCCACCGGCCTCTTCGTCTACTTCTTTGCCGACCGCTACGAAAGTGGCGGCAACGACGGCGGCGGCGACGGCAACGGCGGGACAACCGACCCGGATTTCCTCAAGGACGTCCGGCTTCCCACTCATCTGCACCCCACTTCCTATGATGTCAAGGTCAGCCTGAGAACTTGAAGGGAACGAACAGAACTATCTCATTGAATGCATGGAATCGAATCGACGAATAGTATAGCATTTATTAAAATTCAACAATCATATAAATTACCATAAATCTTATTGAATAATTTAAAACCAAATGTAAAGAATAAAATTCCATAAATTGAAATGAAGTATTGGCGCGACGTAAAAAAAAAAAAACCCTCAATAACCATTCTTAAACTACAACAGCAGGATGCCATAATGCCTTGCATTATGCCATAATACCAATGCCATAATGTCTAAAGCGCAATTCTTATGCATGACGGCATCAGACCGACCGGCCATTCGCGGAAGCGATGCATAAAACCCGATAGCCTTCCCTCTCGGAGCGAGGGCGACCCGCTTTCTCCTCGAGATTGGATCGTAACTGGACTTTCCCATTGAACAAAGTACTGTCGCAGCGCGTGCCGAATGCCAGGTTCCGAGTATCAGGTTCCAAATAACGGGTACCAAGTACCAGGCACTAAATCCCAGGTGCCAGATACCAGGTACCAAATGCCTTTATGGTTTAACAGGAAGATGAAGAAATGGCCATCCAAAACATCGATGCCCTCAATTGATGTCGATCAAGAGATTGACGCACACGAGTCGATTTCAATTCGATTTTCGATAATCCGGCAATAAATTTCGATCCACTGACTGAAATTATCATTTACCGCAATCGTAGTCATGATTGAATCGTCTTGGGAGGTCATGGTATTCTCCTAAATTTCGATCGGTCTTCATTCGCGCCTTTTCGTCGCAGGATCTCATGAATGCGCGATTTCGGTGACAGGGCAAGGGACGTCCGTGTCGCTGTCCGTGTTGCTGTCCGTGTCGGTCTGCAATGATGGCATCGATGTTGCTTCGATGTTAACTTCAATTCTCAGCGTGAAATCCATGAATCCTCCATAATTCATGTTATTATAATCATGTTCATGTTACTTATAATCATTTGCTTGATTTTTTAAAATCATTTTCTTGCATTTATGATCATGTAAATAATATACACTACTAGCCAACAAAAACGCAATTGCTCGGCATTTAATTTGTCCCTAACTGTTGAACGGCTAGTGGCTGTTATTAGCCATCTTTCGGCTGTGAAACGGTTGTGTGCTTCTAGGGACGAATTTTCGGGAGAATGCGCATTTTTATCACATTTTTCAAAAATGTTTAGCAAGATAAGTCGGAGGTGTTCGGATCTGAAATGGTTACAGAGGAAATTTAATTTTTTTCCCGGGGTAAACTTTTTTTTCTTTACACCCTTTATCAGTGAGCGAAGAGTCTTATTCCATCATGAACATTGTCAAATTTCCCAATCGGTAAAAAAAAAAAAAAAAAAAAATGTTGCAGAAAATATTCAGAAACCAAAGTTTAAACGAGAATCTCCGCCGAAACCACCGGAATCCCAGCAGTTCTTCAGCCCGACCATTCTCGGCCCGCGATGTTTTCAGTCGCTGCTTGATCGTCCTCTATAATACTTCTCCTTAAAATTCTATATTTCTTCGTAATAATTCAGTCTGGTTACAGTTCCTGAGCAGTCTGCTTGCGATGAGGACGGTGATTTTTCTTCAATAATAAATTAATGCGAAGTCGACACCTTACGAATACGTCCTATAGGAAATCTAAAGGAATATATAGGAATTCTATAAGAACATATAGGAATTCTATAGGTTACCATAAAGACCTACAGGGTTCCCTATAGGACCAATAGGGTTCCTTATAAGGAAGCATGAATTCCTAAACGGAGTCCATACGATTCTTATTGGAATCGTATAGTATCTTATAGGTTCCTCGTTGGACCTATCTTAGACGTAGGAACGTCCTCGGATGTGGGTGGGAGGCGAATAAATACAAATACAAAGGTTAGTTCCGAAATTCGGAAAATAGCTGTTTCAGGATCAGGATAGCAAATTCATGTGAAACTAGAATATCCAGATTCTCCTTTCTTAGGGTTCTTTGCAAAATATTTCAGCAATTCATCTGATTCTAAGGAGTCCGAAATGTCTTGATGTGCATGCATCATTTCGACATGCACGAGTTATGTCAGGTGCCATAGTGTCGTCGTCGTCTGCATCTAATTCTTGCATCCAAAAAAAATAACTCTCTGCTGATGCATGCACGACATACGTTTCGCAAAACCGCGTCTTCCGTGTTCAATATGAAATCCATGGCCACGTGTCGAGTACTTTGCATTGAGTGTTCTGCACCAGAACATTCAATGCAAAGTACTTTTCCAGTAAAATAATTTTTTTTTTTCCGTTGAAAAGGTCCCCTTTAAAGAACATGCGCGGGTTCGTGTGCAATATCATCCGTAAGGACTACGGATGATACATCACCGGTGAATTTTCCATTCCTGAATTTTCTTCATATTTTTACGTCTTTCGTTTCCTAACGAAATAAAAAAAAACGCTCCAGCTTGAGCACTTTTCTTCGGTGACATAGCGCTGGGACTCTATTCACTGTTCGACCATTAAAATGTTTCAAGCCCGATTCACGACTAAAGGGGACTGACCCCGCAACCCCCCTTCCTTTCAAGGAAAGACTTTAGAGAACCCAGGCGAAATCTAATTGGATAGGAAATCTCGAATCTAAGGCAAAAAACAACTCCTACTGGATGCCTATTAAATTTGCATTATCACGCCATTCTCCCTCAGGCATTAACCTCGTTTCAAGCTAAATTTTCTTTCCAAACATAATTGAATGTCTCGATGGTTCGTAATTCGCAACTTGTCCGAGTTCAAATCGCTCTTGGGTTCCAAAAGTGGGAGCGGGCAAGTGAAGAATTCCCATTTCTCCCCCCCCCCCCCATCTGGCAGAAGTGAGGGGGAAATTGCTCCCCATGTCCCCACAGTTCCTTCGCCCTTGGGACCCATACGTTTCATATCAGAACATATAGGTATATGATCTCATATGAAACTTATGTTCTCATATGTATAGGCTTCTTATAGGATCTGTTAGGTGCCCTTACGAAAATGCCTTATAGGATTCCCTATAGGGCCAATTGGGTTCCCTATAGGCCAATAGGGTGCCATTTGGGACCTATATTGTTCCCCATAGAACCTATTAGGTTCCGTTTGAAGTTCTCCTCTAGGCCACTAGATGTCGGGTCTCACGTTCTCGCATTCCTCACAGTGCACAAAAATGCCCTTACCCTTATCCATGGACCATCTCTCTAAGGAGTGCTTTCTACCTCCCCATAAGTCTCGCCATGCCTCATTGTAGTAATCAAGAAACTTCAACACATTCTTATTTTTTATCCTCATCTTCCAAATATCTATCCCTGTACCACCAGATATTGGCTTAATGCTGGACCAACATCAGACGTTGGCTGTATCTTGGCCAATATTGCCAATAACGGTTAAATATCGGCTTCTCAATATTCCCATTCCATCATCGATCCAATATTGGACCAATGTGATGATCCAACGTGCCTGTGTTGCACTGGAAATTTTTTTTTGTGGAAAATGTCGAGGTTATCCTCTAGGCCACTAGATGGAGGTAGGGTCTCGCTTTTCTCACAGTACATGAAATTGTATTGTCCTCTATATATGGAATAGTCTCACACTTGAGTATTTTGTATCTCCCGATATGTCTGGCCTCGCCTCATTGAGCAATCAATAGAATTGGCCACTTCCTTATATACTCTTCCCATATTCCAGACAGAATCATGAGGTCCAGGCAAAAAATAAGCTCATATTCCATTTGAGAAACCGGTGTGAATTAATTGCCTAATCCGTCGAAATAGTGTCAGTAAAAGAATGATACTCGCAGGTGATGTCTTCTCATTTTCCAGTAAGTGGTTACTAAATAATGTTCTCTTCACCTGAGGCAGCGGACTCGCTCTTACGCCATTCTGACCATTTGTGGGACAGATGTGCGCATGGGTAGAGATTGATAATAATGCAGGCGGCACTAGTACCGAAGAAGCCCTATCATGGAAATTTTCTGTATGGTAATGGATTTGAAGCAATAAGTATGGCCACTTTTGACTTCGGTCGTCAGCCCATATAGTAGTAATCCCGGTCGTAATGCCCGGGTTTCGGAACGAAAAAGTCTCACCGAATCCTATAGGTCAGGATTCCTATAAAACCCTATAGGTTTCTTTCGTGTTTCAAAAACCTATAGGAGAGTCAATAGATTCCCTATAAAAAAAATATCTATAGGTTTCCTATAGGACATTTTCGTAAGGGATACTAAGCTCAGAGTCGGCTTTATTGGTTTTTCTGAGACCCTACCTGTTTTGGGGCAACTTCCCCCCCCCCCCGGCCGGCCAGAGACTGTACCAATTAAGAAACCCTTGCGCTAAGAATACAAAAAGATGTGACGGCAGTTTTGGAACACCCTGTAATTCGTCCATCTCCACACTCTGGGAAAATTTTCGCAAATATCTTAAAATCGATTAGCAATAGAAGATGTCATTCACAGCTTAAAGTAACATGGCGATTCTCGTACAATACAGGTCCTGGCGAAAATCAACGAGCCCGGCTTCCCGATCGACGGCTGGGTTACCATCGACATAACCTGCGACACCCCGGCCAACAACATCACGCTCAACGTGCACAACATCACGGTCAGAAACACGCTGGTCCAGAAGGTGACCGGGCAGCAGGTGGAGAACATAAGCATCGTGGAGGAAGTTTTCGACCTGGACCGAGACTTCTACATCGTGAAGCTGTCTAAGGTGCTAGAGGTGAACCAGATCTACCGGGTCTCCATTGACTACCAAGGGAGGTTGCAGGATGACCTCGCCGGTTATTACTACAGCTCCTACGTCGAGAACGACGAGACTCGGTTAGTTCTGGTTTACTTGTTCCTTGGGTACGGACTAAATTAATATTCTTTTACTGAATAATTTCGTATAAATTGAAGTTTGTAGCAAGAACAAAAAAATTGATAATGAGCTTTTTTGTTGTGTAAATGATATGATTATTCAATATGTACCTTGTAATTGCTATTGTAATGGATTTAATGGATTTAATGTTAGCAAGTAAGAAGCAAGCAAATTGACGTGTCGACCTAAAAATCGACCTAAAAGTAACTTCGACCTACATTTTTTTTAAACCCATCATAAATGAGGCCATTCATCCTAATTTCATCGATAATAAGAAGTATCTGGGAAAGAAAAAATAAAGAAACTCCTAAGGCCTCAAGAGCAACTGTTTCCTTCCTCTTCCTTCTGCCCTTTAATTTTCGGCGGGCGCATGCACGGTTTTAACAATTTTCATCACAACTCATTCTCATATCAAACCAAATAATTACATTCCTCGAAGTGTGCATTATATTATCACTAGATGCAAAGAATGTCTGGGAAAACTTGAATGAAAGAAATCAGATTTCTAATTGTTTATTACAATATGCTACGGAGAAGCGGAAAAATCGGAAGCACTCGAGTAACCGGAAGCCGCCAGGGCAACGGTAACCGTTCGGCCGCTTTAACCATTCAGCCTTTGTCCTCTGTAACCGCTGGGGAGGATTTTGTCCTCGTGATGACGTCCTTCGATGAGGACAATGTTTGATGCGGGAGGCTGCACCGCCACATTTCGTTTCTGATGTTCTGGACAATCTTTACAATGTCCAGACCTTTTTTTATTTTCAAGTTTTGAACAATGGAGAATGGGGATGCCCGTCAGTTAAATTTGCGAAAATTTAATGACATCTGAAAAAAAGTAATCAGCAGAAGGAAGCCGCAAAATCTTTCTTCACCTCTTCCATCGTTAAAAAAGTTCAAATTCTGAACTGTAAATGAACCGTGTACAAACGACTGTTTCAGGTACTTGGCGGTAACGCAATTCCAAGCGACGGATGCCCGGCGGGCGTTCCCGTGCTTCGACGAGCCGAACTACAAGGCGAAATTCAGAGTCGCCCTCGGGAAACCCGAAGGCGAGGAGTGGGTCGCCCTCTCCAACATGAATTCCTCAGGGACAACCCCCGCGTAAGTGAGCCGAAAAGGGCCGATGATTCCGCGGAACTATTGACTTCGAGGGGGGGGGGGAGCTTAGGAGCCGCCGTTAAGGGGGGCTCGCCTTCAAAAACGCTTAATTGAGAACGTTTCAATGAAATAAAATGAGGTAGAACACCCTGTACGGTATGGCAACCATTTCCAAGAGGGTTTATTTGCCGCTATGGATGGAGGCGACTCCTTGGAAATACTTTAGATCTCGTTTCTCAAGAAGGGACGGAATCGCACGGCGCGAAATTGCGAAAATGGGGAGAACTTGCTTAGACACAACTTGCGCAGTATTGAAAAGGAGATTTGACGGGTTTCATAATCCAAAAAAACACAGATTAACTTGCCCTGTGTACTGTAAACTTTTCAACTCTATGCCGTTACATGGCGGCACCGACTCGTGCCATTGAAAGTGCGATTCTCTGGGACACGTCTAAGTCTATTTCAAAATCAGCGAAGAAAACCAAAGGGAAGCAATCAGATCATTTCAAGTCGAGAATGTGTCCATGCAGACCCGAGCAACCCGGTTACGTGTGGGAGCAGTTCGAGACGTCGGTGCCGATGAGCACTTACCTGGTGGCGTTCGCCGTGGCCCGGTTCAAGAGCGTCGACAAGAACGCCACGGCGAGACAGATTCCGTACAAGGTGAGTGGAGGCAGCGAATGGAGATTGGTGGTAGATGCTGAGTAAGAAATGAATTAATAAATGAGTAAAATCATTTCTCGAAAACAAAATTAGGGTTGAGTATCCTTCCTATGGTTTGCTTTTCCATAATATTGCAAAAAATATGCCTAATTGTGATTTGAAAAATCTCAGAACTACCTTTGAGCGCTGGATGCGGTCAAAATATACAGGGTCTGCCAATAAAAAAGAAGACTTTATGCTATAAAATCTGTAGTTATATAACGATTCTAATTTAGCTTCAACACGTTAAAATATATATAACGATTCTAATTTAGCTTCAGCTATTCTAATTTACCTAATTAGCATTCTTCAGTGCAAATTTGAAACACATAGCTGTACTCAATTTAAAAATTCCATGGAAATGAAAAATAGGTAATGCATTGTGTGTTAACATAACGTTTTTATTTCTATTTCAAATTGACACCATGTTAGCATCAGACTCATTTATAACTCAAATAAATCAAATTTGTTTAAAATGTTTTTCTATAATCTCCGCTACTTTCCTGAGCCTTTGTCGAAATTGATCGATTCACTTGGTCTTGCGGTAGTTCATCCCATTTTCTCATCCGTACGTTTCTGAGTTGGTTGACATCCCTGATTTGTTCACTGTACACTCTTTCTGTAAGGTTCTCCCAGATGCCATAATCCACTGGATTTAGGTCAGGGCTGTTGGGAGGCCAAAAATCGGGTTCAGGGAATTCTGGAACGTTTGTAGTTAAATAAGCAACAGTTCCTTTTTGCGCTATGAGCCCTTGCACCATCGTGTTGGAAGATAAAATGACTTCCATCAGCATGTTCTTTCATTTCAGGAATCATATTCTTTAAAGGAGTATTCCTATAATAGTCTCCATTTACTTTAACACCCGGTTCTACGATATGAATAGATGTCTCTTCAAATTTTGAAACAACAACATATACCATAATGCTTTTTGGAAACTGACTTCTTGTTGAGTGGAGTCTTTCATCCGTAATTTGGTTCTTTAATATGACATCTGAGTACAAAGTGCTGTTTTAAGAGTTTCTTGGTGACTCTAGAACATTTTTTCATCAGTGAAGAATGTCTTCCTCATCTTTGCTAATGTCATACGTCATAAGAGTCTGTTCGCCCGAGTCACTCGTTTTTCTTCATCTGCAGTACTAAGTCTTCGTCCATGGACACGTTTAAAAGGCCGAAGTTGAAGATCCTTTTTTTGACTACGCGTCTAACACTAGATTCTGATATTCCTGTCGCTTTTGAAATCCGTGCAGGAGTCTCATGGGTACCTGGCGCATCTTCTTGACTAAGAATTCTAGGGGGAAAAGACACTTCTTTAATGTTCATTTCTGTTCTTGCACTTTTTTTTTGCGCCCACTCCCTGGTTTTCTTTCTACACCGCCAGTACGATCAATTTTTGGAAGTAATTGATCCAATCTACCAGCTGTCCATCCTTTATCTGGAAATTCTGCTAAAAATGTATTTCTTCCATTTTTGAAGCATGTAGTGCCTTATACTAGTAATTGTCTTGTCCTCATGTAAAAATGCCATTTTTTGAATCTGAAAAAAAAATTAAGGTTAACACACAATGTATTACTTTTAAAAATATTTTCATGGAATTCGTAAATGAGTACAGCTATGGGTTTCAAATTTGCGCCCAAGAATGTTAGTTAAACATATTTTCATTTATTGAAGTTCAATTAGAATTGTTTTATAGCTATAGATTTTATAGCATATAGTATAGGGTCTCCTCTTTTATTGGCGGTCCCTGTAGTTTAGTCTCAACATGTTTCACGGTGAAGCATCAATAAACGCGAAAGCGCTGATAATATAACGCAAAGGCTCTCGTGGCTGTCTGGCCGAGCAGGGAATTCATTCGTCAGGAGTTTTAAAAATACTTTGCTCGAACACATGTTTTGCAACTCAGGTATGGGCCCGGCCGGATATGATCGACTACGCCCAGAAGGCCGCCGAGTACGGACCGGCCATCCTGGAACATTTCGAAGAATATTTCAAGATTGATTACCCGATGCCCAAGATGGACATGATCGCCCTTCCAGACTTCGCCGCCGGCGCCATGGAGAACTGGGGACTCATCACCTACAGGTAGATGGTGTTGGTTTTGCTGCGGTTGCTCCTAATAAAATCGATAGGAATAATGGACAAGGTTAAGAACGTTGCAAGACTTTGTAAGAAGCGAGTTAAGTTCAATGAAACCTGAAGCGAAAGGGAAATTGCATACATGTTTCTAGCAAGAATACATTTTCGAATAGTCACATTTTTTTATTATATTACCAGGTTATTCATGAACCTCATCAACATTTATATTGCGCCTTCGTTTAGTGTGCAAATTCTGTTTCCCACAGGGAGGAATACCTGCTGTACGAAGGGAGCCAGACCCCAGCGGCAACCCTTGTGAGGATCGTCTACATTATTGCCCACGAGCTGGCCCACATGTGGTTCGGAGACCTGGTGACTCCGGAATGGTGGAATGACATCTGGTTGAACGAGGGTTTTGCTTCCTACGTCGAGTATCTCGGGGCCGACAAAGTCAGGAAACTTGCCTTTCTCGATTGCATATTTCTGGATTTTACATCTTAATTTTACATCTCAAATTTAAAATCTTAATTCTACATCGTCATTTTTAATTTCACAGGTGGAGCCTGGCTGGAAATGGATGGAGCAATTTGTTTTCAGTGACCTCCAAGACGTACTTTACTTGGATTCCCTCCAGAATTCCCATCCCATCTCCGTCGACGTCTACAATCCGGATCAGATCATGGAGCTCTTCGATCGAATCTCCTATGCCAAAGGTGCAAGGCATCCCCTATTCAAAGATACATTTAAAGAAAGAGCAAACAAAACGTCTTGATACCTTTTTACGGTTTGAACGGTATCGGCACTATATGTTCGCGGACCCGACAAAAGCGTCTATTTTTCCTGAGACAGTAACCTGTTATTTTATTTTCTTTGTCTCATAAATCGCTCAGGAAAGTCTTTCTTTGCGTTGATGAAATTTGTAGCATTTCGCGGAATTTGGAAAAATATTACCTTCAAATACTGTTAGAAAACCTCTGATTCTTACTTGACCAGCTTTAGGCTTACTTTCGGCATACCTATTTTCATCAGGACAATTCCAAGAAAGAGAAAATTTCCGATGCATAGAACTGTTGCCAACAGTAATCGAAACCGTCTCGCAACACGGTAAACATCGAGCGCGTTCGCAGTGCACAATAGTTGATTTGCATTTCACATTTGTACATTGCACAATTTTAGATTTCGACTTATCTGGGCCGATATCCGTACCATGTAAAATTTACCGGCAAATATCTGAGATGCAAATCTAATTGATTGTTGACAGGTGCGTCGATCATTCGAATGATGAATCACTTCCTGACGGAGGAGGTGTTCAGAAACGGGGTTACCAATTACCTCAAGAAATTCGAATACCAGAACGCAGTGCAGGACGACCTTTGGAAGCACTTGAACGACGAGGCCAACACCATGCAAGTCCAACTCCCGGCCACGGTCAAGGAAATCATGGACACCTGGACCCTGCAGACCGGCTACCCTGTCGTGAAGGCCACGAGGGATGGTGAAAAGGTCACCGTCAATCAGGTGCGTTTCAGACGAATTTCCTTGTCCTCAGATGAATTTCATTGCTGGGGGAATTTTCGCGGAAGCGAAGTGCGATAATGATAGCGTCTGACTATAAATGGTATATTACGCAAGGTCTGCCATAAAAGTCGCAGGGGAACATGTATATATCATTTAGAAAGATTGGATATAATGGATATAATAATGGAGCTTACAAGGACAGAATCCGTGAATGCTTCACGTAAATTCTCAACGATGTCTGGCCCATAGAACGGGAAGACATTCCATGAGATGGAATCTAATTGAGGGCGTCAACGCTGACGGCTCATATATCGATTTGAAACATTACCATTTTGTGATACCCAGGTTGCTAGAGATTCCTCTATGAGTGGTCCATTAGCTCTTAGTTGTCACCTACTGGTCCATTGAACGGTGTATCCAATCTGACAGAATGCATTTCGACCATCAGCGCTCGTGGCATCTTCAACCTTAAATTAACGGTGTACTTCATCATTTCATGCTGATTAACACCTTTTTAGTTGATTATAACAGATTAAGGCTTCTTAATTTCTCTAATCTGAATCATTATAAGTGAGTTTTAGGAAAGAAGATACCCTTTTTTTAAAATAGAAAGTATGGAGGGGGCTCTCAAACAATCACGCAGCTACTTAAAAGAACTTCCCATGATCGAAATGAGATGGCCCCTAAATCATCGGTGTAACGAGTCATTGCCCTGATGTCATTGGAATGTTTCCCCATTTCTCATTAGACGCTACTCGATATTTTCCTGGAGCAAAAGTAGAGGAAGAGATGAATTTCCTCCAAACATTTCTCGAAAGAGATAACCCAGCCAGTAAAACCGCATGCAACTTTGTCCCAGAAGTCGGAGGGAGGATGGTCCAACTGAGGATCTCATTTCACGGACCGAGCATCTAAGCTGGCTGGAGACGCATCTGGCAGAGTGCTATAGAGTATGGCGCCGCGCTTTAGCCTTCAAAACTCTGGAATAAGCCTTACATTGGCATAATTTGAAGCTCACAAGTCTCACGCAAATGGACAGGCCTAGGGAGCGTGCAAGTTTTGTGAAATTAGCATTAGTAAAAGCAATGACCTTTTTAAAGGTGTTTTACCTCATTCCTTGTGCTGATACGAATTTCTGATATCTTAAGAGGAGAGGGATCCGCTCGAGAAGAAATAAATTGAACGATAGGTCTTATCGGTCTGATGATACCAGGGGGGAATAGAGCCATTGCCACGATCTAAAAGATCACGTGATCGAATTATTGCCTCACGTTGTGACAGTAAAAGAAATTACTTCCTAAGTACCCGGAGTACTTCTATTATACACTGAGACTCACTGGGAAGAACGCATCTTTCATGTTCTGCGCATGAAGAGATTCCTTATTTAATTTTCGCATGCCACATCGAAAGCACGGCTGAATCAAGGCTGAATCCTTTAATGTATTTCTTCGTTGTTCATGCATACGTTGAATCACTGCCATTATCGAAGGGAATTACTTAACATCCATTTGAGCTTGGAGATTAAAACCAATAATAAATAATTGATTTATCATTGGTTTCAATCCAGGTACAATGGTACTGGCAATGGCATCACAATCTAGAAGCAATATTAAAGACATATTAATTCAACTTCGTCAAGTTCCTGTTGAAGCCCGATGTTCATTTACTGTCGATAGCATCATGGCTTCAGGGTTGATGAAAATTTAATTTCAATATGGAGTCAGCGTTGCTAGTCGAATGCTGCTTCAACATCAGATATGCCAGTGTTCAACATTGAGTCAACAATGAGTGTAAGGCATTATTCCTCACGTAGATCAGGATTATAATTCAATAATTTCTTCTTATGGGAATCCGTCTTTCCCTAAGAAACCTACTACAACGTCTCGAAGGATAATGAGGTCATGTTTTCGCTGGAATAGAATTAAAAAACAATGCATCATTTAATAAAAAATGACGTAAAACATCATCACCTGATAGTGATTTGTCATGTGCAGGCATAATACTCCACCTGAAACTTACATGGAAAAATAAGTTCCCCTTCATTCTCTCTTTCCATGCAGTGTTTCATAAGGCAATTATTTGTAACTGGGCAATTATCAAAGTCGCCCTTAGGAAATTTCCCAGCTGTCTTCAGGAAAGCATTATTTCTTCACTTCCCAGATGGGGAAGTTTTAAAATGCGGTGTCGTCTCTGGGAATATTCTTCATAACTGACAAGGAATTTCGATTGCACCGATTTGGTTCAAGACTCAGCGATTCTAAGAAGTTTTGGCATTTTTTCCAGTTTCACATGGCAAGATGGCCGTCATGTCTGACGGTGATAAATCACTATCATCCCGCATTTATAATTATGCGTATATTTTTAAATGTCAATATTATAAAATAATGCATCATTATTGAATTTTTACATGGGATGCTCAATGAATAATGACTGCAAATCAATTACTTCTTCATTTGTAACAACTCAGACTTGAAGAACTTCATGGTCTTACAACATTATCACCACCAAAACGAATACACTTTTCGAGGCTCCTGAGCCACTTTTAAAACCTGTTTTTTAAAGGCGTTTTTTGGTTCGCATGATTCGGAAGAATCCAGCCCTGAGTTTCACCATGTTTTCCACGTGACATGAGAATTGAATATGATATTTCATAGCCTCATAGGCATAGAACCGGGAAGAAGTCTTTATGATGATGAGTCTTAGTCTTGAATGAAGTATTTCCATCGAGACGAAGTACTTTGGAAGTACTTTCCTCGATCTTGTCGCTATGTTGGGCAATAATCCCTCCACGAGATCTTCTATTTCTATTTCTATTTTCATAGAAATAGTTCTATTCCCTCCTGGTATCATGAGACCGATAAGACCTTTCGTTCAATTTATTTATTTTCCAGCAAATCTACTCTAAATGCATCAGACATTCGGAGATGTACAGCGAATAGAGAAAAACATCTCCAAAAAGTCGGTTTTTACAGAAGCTAATTTCACGAAATTTGCTCGCTCCATAGGAAGGTACCTCTGCAAGAGTCTTGTGAACTTAAATCTTGCCAAAGGAAGGCTTCATTGCAGCTGAGTTTTTAAGGCTGAAAAGTATTGAAAGTATTGAAAGTCGAAAGAGGTACTTGAACAATTACTTCTTTCGACGAATGTTTCGAGCAATTGCAATTCTTTCCTTGATTTTGCTTGTCGAGTAACGCAGTGAAATGTTTTGAATGGCTTCAAGATAATGACTTGTGGCGACTTAGGCGGCATCTCAATTCGATTATGCGAACTTTGTTCGAGTAAATGCACGATGGTGCGCATTTTTTCCATGTCATGTCTGTTCGAAAGTCCAAAGTTCGTGAGAACTTAAACAAAGAGTGTCAGTATTTTAATTTTCATTTCTGAAGATGAGGACTAGAGAGATGAAAAGCCTTCATCTTTCATCAGCCTAACAAAAAAATGCGAATCAGCACGAAACGAACATTCGAAAGCATTCTGTATAACCATCGCCAACATAAGGTCGAAGATGCTTCGAGCGCTGATGCTCGATGCCAGATTAGATGCACCATCCGATGAGGGCTAAAGGACCATTCATTGAAAATCTCTCACGATCAGCCTTTCAGGAAAGATGTCAAACTTTTGAATCGATGTTGATTTCATTGTGATAATAAGAAATAAATTGCGGTTTGAACTTTCTGTCTGCTGAGGAAAATTCGCGCTTTCTCCATTCTTGTGCGTCACTTCCGATTCATAGTACCGAAGAATCTGGACACATTTTCTGGTGAATCACGGAGACTTCCTGGAAATGATTCATAGAGATATATTGCTCGTACTTTAAAAGTATTTGTGCCCATCACGTCGTCCAAAGTCCATTGATAATGACACCGAGTCGAACGATTATTGCGGATTTCCTTTTCTGGATTGTCAGGAAATATTCAAAACGGTGGCTCGTAAAAATGTGTCGACAAAAGTGGATACAATGACCGGCAGCCAAGAGGGCGGAAAATAGGAGTTCTTGGCTGTGATGATCTCCATTCAAACGGAATATTTCAAGAGAAAATGTATCATGATAGGATCTGGTCATTAACACCTTAATTTTTGGCAAATATTTTTTGCATGGGAATTAAGATTCGATTCCACGATCCCAGGAGTTGGGGAATACTCTAAAAGGATCCTGGAAAATAATGTGGATATCGCGAAAGTCTTGCATTTGGGGATTTCCCCAAGGATAGTATCCGTGGACTGCATCCGGGTGTTGCATCCGGGAGTTGCATCCGGGTGTTGCATTTCCGGGAGTTGGACTTCGTGGGTAGATAGATCCGAGAATGACTTGATTGCATCATTATCTGGGGATTTTGGGCTCGAATGACCGTCAATAAAGGTGGCAATAAAATCTCTAATAAATTATTCTCCCCTGGTGGAGGGAATTTATGGTAGTGCTTCACGTCCATAAAAGAAGGAAATTATTGCCGTTCTATTGCGCCTTCGATGGAATCCCCTCGTCAACAAGTGCTTTCCCGACGCTTGTTTTTCTGCACGATCCGGATAAAGATTGTCTAGGTTGTGAGTAGTAGTCGTCGGTAATAGGGAGTCGATAGTTGGTAGTCAGTTGTCAATTTTAGGCAGTTGTTTGTCCATTGTCGGTAGTCTGCAATCCGACCAATCCGAATAAGGGGTGCTGAGGGCGGTGAAGAACTCGACTTGAGCAGAATATAAGACCAACCTCAAAAAAATTCCCATTTTTGACAATTTTCCGGGTGATATGTATTTCGAACGTGATGTCTCAGATGAAAATGGACGATTTCCGCCTGCATGAGAAAATGTGCCTTCTGATTCTTTCGAATTTTAAAGTTGTTGCACTCTGCCAAAAAATCTCAGTCAGAATCTGTCGGGGCCTTTCTCCTCGACAGGATTTTCTTTTTTACCGCTCTCAATTGCCGCTTTCAATTGCCGTTTTCAATTGGCGGTCTGCATCGGCATTATCGGATGGCCACATCTGAATTGCTTTTCGTTCATCTAAGGAGTTAAGAAATGATATTTGAACTGTGTTTTGTTAAATGCATTTTGCAATCACTGTAACTGCTAATTCATTGAATGCCAGGAAACCGTAATTTTGCATGATACAAAAACTAATTTAAATGAATTTTACCTCTATGGCTTTATTCTATCAATTAAAGCACAGAGTGGATTTATTTAGGTTTTGGCACACATTTTCCAATTTCACCTTGGACGTCATGCACTGAAAAGCTATGGTCTCTCATTATGTCACACATATATTTTAAAATTTTATGGAAACATAATAAAAACAATTTTTAATATACATGGTGGTGAAAATAAGAAAACGCTTCCTGTTTGTCGCCGTATGAATTCGATTTCAAGTTTTGCATTTTTTAATGTCACATTGAGAACATTATATATTTTCCTTTCTGGAGCTTTCAAGCATCAGTGTCTCACGGATAAAATGCAGCAATTCAAATTTAAGCAATGAAATGTAAATTATTTAAGGCATGAAGTGAATGCAGTCTCGGCACAGCTCGGAAGATCTCTCCTCTTTGAAGCCTTGGAGGTACTTTTTACCTCGCCATGATTTTCTTGTTTGAGAGAATGAAATGTCGGAATTCGATGTTTGATGCACGTTTGGAGAATAAGGACCGTGGAGGGAAGAAGAGAGAGACGAGAGTGAGGATTGTTTCCTATGGAAACGTGAACCCTGCCCTATACGAGTCTGCTCACTCCAAGTCCCTTATCTCAAAGGCACCACCTTAAATGCTGCGACTTTCCTTTGAGAGATACGACATGATTAGACTGCTGTAGGGTATTCCAATAAGAATGCTGCTATAGTCAGGCATTATGCGAGAAATGGTGCACATATACAGGGTGACCGGAAAGTTCGGAGACACTCAAAAATACCAATATCCCGATGCCATAAAGAACAATAAATGTTTTTTTTTATTTCAAAAGAAAGAACATAAGAAAACCTTCAAAATGAGTTAAACATCTTGGAAATAGCCCCCACTGGCAGCAATAACTTTTCTGAGGCGTTTTGGAAAATTGTCCAGTTTCTCGCAGCTGTTTCACAGGGATTTCGTGCCATGCTTTCAGCAAAGTTGACTTGAGGCTGTCCAAATTTTTCGGCTGAGTAGCACAGACCTTTGCCTTCAAAATGGACCAGATACTATAGTCCATCGGATTTAAATCAGGGGAGCAGGAGGGTCAAGCTTCTGGACCAATCTGGCAACTCGTGCAGGCACCACTCTTTTGTTGACCGGCTGGTGTGAGTTGGGGCATTGTCTTGTTGAAATGTCCAGGAAGAATCCCCAAAATGATCCCTTGCCCAAGGATAGAGAACCTTCTTCAGAACTTCATTTTGATAGTAATTGGCATTGATTTTGATATTAGGAGGCACAAAATGAAAGGCTGTTTTACCGTCGGCCATAATGCCACCCCAGACCATGACAGACGGGTTTTTGCATTCCTTGCACAAACCGAGATTCTGACAAGACTCTGGACCCTTTTCTGGCCCAGACACGATCATTTTGGGGATTAAACGCTAGCTGAACTGTAAAAACTTTTTCATCTGAGAACACGATCCGACGGTGTGAGTTTCGCTTGAATCTCGCCAGTAATTTCCTTAATTTTTGCTTCCGCAATTCCTTGTTCTCCTTCGTAAGCACCTGAACTACTCTTTTTTTTAAAAGGGAAAATGCCCAACTTCTTTCTAAGATAGGAGTGCAGAGTTTCGCGCTTGATCTTCAAGTGCTTTGCAAGACTTCGGCATTTCCGTTCCGGGTTTCGATCGAGAAGCTGTTTGACACGCTTTCGAAGAGCAGGATCCTTGAAGACACTGGGACGGCCACTTCTGGGTCGATCCTGAGTTGCACCAAGTTCCTTGTAGCGGGCAATGGCTTTGTACACGGTGGATCGTGGTAGTTTCAGCTCCTTGATGATCTTTGCAGGTGAATGACCTTGCTGAAACATGTAAATCACAGATTCTCGGCTGGGTTTCGATGCCATATCTGCACCGGGAGGAGTCATATTTGCGATGTAAAAGGATTAAGCCTAGAGCTAGACTCGTGGAAGAAATGAAGCCTCACACTTGAAAGAAATCTAAACATTTTTACAAGTCTCCGAACTTTCCGGTCACCCTGTATATTGCGCCTCATTCCACATTCCATAGCGCATGCATCCACCTTGCTGACCGATAGGTGGTGGAATTGGAACTACGTGGATGTCTCACATGGTGGAACTCCACCTGGTCATTCGAACACGTATGCAAGGTAGTCCGTAGTAAACCGTTACTTTTCTAGAGGCTGTACCTTTGCGCTCATTACAGCAAACTACTAAAACTAAAAACTATAGCCAATTATGCATTTCTGGACTAGATATTTGGACTGAACCTACTTTTGCTGAAAATTCCATCGCTACGACGAGGCTACGTAAATTTAACTGGGGTCCCATCCTTTTTTTTAAATCCCTTTTTTAGTTTCGGTTTAGTTTAAAATATTTACGGTCAGAACAAAGATGTACAAGTTATAAATTGTTCGTTTTCATTTGCCTCACTGCGTTATTTTCCAAAATGGACTCAATGCTGACCAAATTTCCATGTTTAAGTTAATTGCGGTCCGCAGACCGCATTTTGGGTTCCCCTGACATGCTCTGTGGCGCAAAAATGGCCACCAAATCTGTAAACAATAACTTCATTTGGTTTGTTAGTATCTGCTGATTTTCACCGTATACTAAATAGTGTTAATTCACGCGACAGACACGGTTCCTGCTGAACTCGACGACGACTGAGAAGCCCACCCACTGGTACGTCCCGTTGAACCTGGTCCGGTCGAGCAACGTCGCGGGATTCGATTCGACGAACGCCACGGTTTGGCTCTACCCCAATGCGTCCACCGTCGAGTTCACGCTCGCCCAGAACGACGAGTGGTACATCATCAACGCCCAGCAGACCGGGTACTACCGGGTCAACTACGACGAGAGGAACTGGGAGGCTCTGAACAAAACTCTCCGCGAGAGTCATGAAGATATCCATGTCATCAACAGGTTCGTTGAGTTGATTGTGTTCGTTGAGACCTGTTTTTGATGTCGTGTACCAGCCTATATTGCAATATGAAGGAACACGCCGTTACTTTTTCACTGACTTTCGGAACGCTGTATACTTACATATGTTATGCTAAAAATATCGAACGGCATTCAACCCAAGCATATCCTCTCCATATAGAGCTACCTAGAAGAAACCTATGCTGGACATGAATACCTTTCCAACAAATCCTAGACATTTCATCTAAATTCCTCATGCTGTAGTAGTGCTATGAGCAATATTGAAATAGAAGTTGGACATTGGAAATACACCAGCACTCATACTGGAAGTGGAGGAAGTGGACTCACACATCCAGTAGTTGGTTTTGATGGGCTTTATTTCTTATTGAAAATGGATCAATAAATTCTGATAAAGGAAATTGCTTGAAGTTTTTCAGACTTAAACTGTGTTTTCGTCGGAGGAGGCAGGCGGAGACCAATTATTCCGATTTGATTCCAGTCCCCTGTTCATTTCCAGTTTCTGGTTTATTTTTGCATAGTTGCCCATCGCTTTGATTGGGGACAAATTGGGATGTAACTTCAAAAGTCTGTTTGGTGTATGGCTGGCACGATGCGTGTCTTGAGGAAATAGCTGCAGCAATAGCAGAGACATAGAATAATGTCGCTGGTCTTTCATTACCATCCCTTGTAAGTTTGCGATGTGAAAATGATTGCATAGAGAAATTCGCAGTCTTCCCTCAACAGGAAGAGTAATAATATCACACCGGTACCACAAGTATCACCAGCCCCACAAGCCTGCTGAACACGATATATTGTCTATTCCAGGGCTCAAATCCTGGACGACGCCCTGAACCTGGCCCTTGCGGGTCACATCAACTATACCATCGCCCTGTCCCTCACCCAATACCTGGGGCAGGAGGAGTCCTACATCCCCTGGGCGACCACGGCCGACAACCTCAGCTACCTTCGGCGCATGCTCGAGACCACTGGGAAATACGACCAATATCGGGTAGATTATCGGCGCAAAATCACTCCCTACAATTCATTAGCCTCTCCGCTAAGTGCATCTTATTTTACTTCAAAGACACACAAATGTTCGTATCAGAAGGGTTTCATCACAGATATTCAATTCAGATGTGTCATTGGCATGCAATTTTCTCTTCAATTCCGTATCGAATATGTGAACGTTAAAATTGCAGAGCAGCAGATTGCATTTGAACATCGCGATTCCCCATTTTCCCAATGAATTCCCTGCCTAACTTACTCCCGATCCTGTATTCAGTGTTGCATGATTGCTCATCCTGGCAGTCTAGTTCCTCAGCAAGGCCTTCTAATTCCTCATCCAGGCCTACATCCTGAGCCTCATAAAAGATGTGCTGGCGAGAGGTGACTTCAAGTTCCCCGTATTGGAAGACGTACCCCCCAACGGGGACTACCAGGACGTGACGGAGGTGATGTACAAGGAGCTGATCTGGGGGGCTGCCTGTCAGATGAGGGAACCCCGGTGCATCGGCAATGCCACCCAACTGTTCCGCACTTGGAGGGAAAATTACGACGAATCAACGCCAGACAAGCCCTAGTGAGTTTTGGAATTCGCCATCGGGGGAAAGAAGAAGGTCGTCGGTCGAAAGTGGCCTTCGATGCTTTCAACATTCTCAGGTTTAAGCTTTTTTGTATTCGCACGTGAATTTTAATTCGAGGTCGCGGTCAGCCACATTTCATTAACTTTTTTTTACGTTGAACCTGGAGGACGCAAAATGCCTTTTTACTTGATTTTTGCATATTAGAAAGATACTTATCAAGAATGTGGCAATATCCTCCTTACCTGTCAAATCCAGAGGCAGAGCATTTTCGACAGAGATTAGCCATGGCGGTTACCATCGAGGTATGTCGAGCTCTCACCTCTCGAGCAAAAGGTAACAGAATGCATCCGAAGGGTGAGCACGGTGTGACCCGAGACCACAACCATGGTAAGGTTAGCCTGTTGACCGGTTGACTGGACCATGACGGATTTATGCTAATTTCTCCCACATGAGTTTCCAGCCCAAGGAAGCGCACAAGAGAAAGTCAAAACACCACTTAACTCTTAAAGGGGAATAGATGGTTTTCAGTGAAATATCTCAGTTGTCCCTAATCTGCTAAAGCAACGGGATACAACAGAATTGTGTCCGAATATCATAGAGACGCCCAAGACAAATTTCTTTCACTTTATTTTTCGAGTTTGTGGAAGACGAGAATTATATCATGTCTATTTAGGAAAGATCTTAATTGGAGAAGATTTGACATTCTGGTTGGCCAAATGTCCTATTCACCCCTCCCCCCGTATGCACTGCTCCCCAAACATTGATCCAACCAATGCCCCCCCCCCCCCCCGCCCACAAACACACTGCCTACCTCAAACGACATCCCCCACACACGCGGAGTCCCCACACATTGCATCCCCCACACGCTGCCCCACACAGACGCTGCTCCTACATCGCCCTCGACCCCCTCCACACCGGCGTGGATTTCAATACTAAATGCTCACATAAAAGCAATAGCACCCTTTCACCTTCGACCGAAGCCATGATCCTGAGTCCTTTCCTCCCAGCCTGAACCCGAACATTAAGGGACTCGTGTACTGCGAGGGAGTTCGTTCCGGCGAGGCGGCTGAATGGGAATTCGTCTACAAGCACTACAACAACACCAACTACGCGGCCGAGAGGACGCTGCTCCTCGCGGCCATGGCCTGCACCGATAAGTCCTGGCTGCTCAACAAGTTAGTTTCTTCAGCAAACTTTCTTCAGCTAAATTTCTACCGAAAATTTTCTTCAGACAAATTTATACACCATAATTATCCTCGCGAAATGCTACATTGATTTTGACTTGTCTAAGCTTGCAGTCGAAAACTTATTACGAATAATATCAAAACAATTAGTAATGTTTAGGGAAGAATTCATATCTCTCATAATTTTCTTCAAATAATAATCTGATGAACAGATTTTAACAAAGGTCTTTCTTGAAAGCATCGATTTCTCATGTTAACTACATCGAAATGAACCTAATATGGACGTGAAAACAAGAAAAAAACAAGCATGCTATCACTATTCCATTCGTATACAGCATGACAAAAGCTATTTATTCAATTATTAGTATTATTACAATTTTGTTTTCCCTCAGATATCTGGACATGCTACTGACCCCAGAGACGAGCGGGATCCGGAGCCAGGACGTGTCCCGGGCCTTCGCCTACATCGCCGCGAACCCCGCTGGGAGGGACGAGGCCTTCAAGTTCGTCAAGGTCAACTGGGAGAAGCTCAAGGACAAGTAAGGTTCCCGTTCCGTGTCGGTCTGGGTCGGTCCTCAGATGTCGGAATTCGTTCCAGTTTGTTAGGATCCTTAGAAGCAAAGCGCCCAATGAACTGCCTCCAAGTGAATTAATCGCAAAAAATATTTTGAACAAATAATCGATGATAATTTATAGATGAGGCCGATTCAAAAATTCACAACGCGCCTTTTTTGCATTATTGCATATATGCGTTTTGCATGCATTCGACAGGTACAGCAGCGGGTTGAGCACCCTGACCAGGTTCATCACGCCGTTCAGCATCTTCAACACCGAATACGAACTCAACCTGGTAAGTCGACCCTCTGTGGTCGGGGTTGATGGCAATTGTGCAGTGTAACTGTGACTGCGTGGAGAATTATTTCAGAATCATCGTCTGCATTTTAGCAAACTTAATGGACTTACTAGCAGTGTTAGAGCTGACAAAATGTCATTCATGTGCGTAAGAGATAAAAATAAAGTATTTAAACGAATGGTTTTCCTCAGCTGAAAACCATGAAGGACGAAATCGAGGGCTCGCTGGGGTCGGCCGCGAGGGCCATGGACCAGACCATCGAGTCGGTGATGATCAACATCGAGTGGATGAATAAGAACCTCGACACGGTCGTCAGGTGGCTGGAGGTGAACGGCAGCACCGTCGGACCGACCGACCCAGGCTACCCCAATGACGTCCGGCTTCCCCGTCACCTTCGCCCTACTGAATATGATGTCAAGGTCAGCCTGAAAACTTGAAGGGAACGAACGGGACTATCTGATGGAAGGCATGGAATCAAATCAACGAATCTGATAGCATAGTATTAACATTCAATAACATAAAAATTACCATAAATCATATGGAAAACTTTCAAACTAAATGTAAAGAATAAAATACCTTTATTTAAATAAAAACAAGTATTGCCGCGACGTAAAAAACGATACCTTGAGATGGACTGCTCTTGAATTGCAACAGCAGGATCCCATTATGTTCATGTGTTATGCCATAAGGCTAAAGCATTATGGCATAACACATGAACATAATGCCTAATGTCTTTAACGCAATTCCAAGGCTTCATAGCATCAGACCAAACGACCATGCACAGAATCGATGCATAAAACTCTATGGCTTTCCTCCTCGGAGAGAAGGCGACCTGCTTTCACCTCGAGATTGGATAGTACCGAGCAGCAGGTGCCAAATACCAGTTACCAAATAATTGTTTGGCAATGCAATAGTTTCGCAGAAAGATGAAGAAACGGCCATTCGAAATATCGATGGTAAAGATTATATAATTGAATCATCTTGGAAGATGAAACTATTAACGAAAACCTCGAACGGAATTCATTCGTGCCTTTTCATCGTGATCGGCTGGATCGCATGAATGCGAATTCGGTGACACGGCGGGGGGCGCCCCGTGTCGCCGTCTGCGTCCCTGTCCGTGTCGGCCTACAACGAGAGATGCAATGTTTGCTTTTATGTCGGCTTCAATTATAACTTCAATGTTCAGAATGAAATCCAAGAAATTACATTAATTATCCAAAACTCCATCATTTATAATCATGTTATTGTTCTTTAGAATCATGTCTTTCTTATTTATAATAATTTTTTTGTACTTTATAATTATAGAAATAATATGCACAACTAACCAAAAAAGAAGTTTCTGCCAACAATAACTCAATTGCTTGGCATTAATTCGTCCTTAGCTGTTGAACGGTTAGTGGCTCTTAATAGCCTTTTTCAACTCTAATACAGTCATATGTATCTAGGAACGAATTTGATCGAAAATGTGCATTTTGTCACCCTTGCAAAGTTTTCTTTGTAAGTAGTACTTTGAAAGTAGCACTGTTTTTGCAGGGTAAACGTTTTTTTCAAGCGGAATAGTACTTAAACGGTCAGCAAAAATGATTATTTCTTCATGAACATCGCCTAATTTCCCGATGAGCAAACATTTTTTTAAAGAGAAAATACTCTTAAATCGAAGTTTAAATCCTCCGCTGAAATCGCCTTTATCTCAGCGCCATTTCAATTATTCAGCAGTTAAAAAATCGCCTCACATCCGAGTCGAGGCGAGAATAAATTATTCAGCCAAATAATTCTCTTCCGCTGGTTGATCGTCCTCTAAGAATTTATAATTATTCATAATAATTGATAATTCTTCAAAATAATTCCGTCTGGTGGGAGTTTCTGAACGGTCTGCATGGGACGCTAATGCGAAGTCGATTCCAAGCTAAGAGTCGGCTTTCTTGGTTTTTGCTGCGATCCTTTTAGAAACTTCTGGGGCTGGTGGTTCTTTTCACATACCTTTCCCATAGGTAGGTGGTTTTTTCTCCTTCCCATGGGACCATATGAAGTTGACAGGTGTTGCCCTCGATCTGCTACTTTTTTTTCTATTCCGTCTGTCCGGAGACAGAACCGGGCAACTCCACTCAGTGCGCATGAGCAGCAATCCGTCTGCCAAAAAAAAGCCAAGGATCGCTTTTGCTAAGAAAATATTTAAAAAACATGACAGGAGTTTTGGGACACCCTGTATTTCTGGGAACGATTGTTTCAGGGGAAACTCCTACATTAGAGGAGTTAAGGTTTTACCAACTTTTTTCTCTTGAAAAAAACGGATAAAACTAAATAGATAATAAATCACTAATAAATAATAAAAGAATAACGAATAATGAATAATAAATAATTTCAAATCCTATATGATAGAAAAAATCAATGGGGGATCTTGAAAGGAAGCAGAGGTTAATTTATTTAACTTCGTTAATTTAAGGTTGACAGCGACCTCACAGAACCCAAAGTACGAGGGATATCCAGAAAAAAAGGTTACAACAGCTGTTAAAAATCGAAAAATGAATATATTTCAACCAAATTTACAGGGTATGTTCCAAAATATGTGTTTCTTTCTCAACATAATCGCCGTCAACNGACGAACTCGCTTGCTGTGACGACATTTCACAACTGACTGACGCGGTCCCGGGCTTATTTTGACCGTTAGGAACCCCCCTACACGCAGGTATGCCAACCTTCGAAAAAAAAAATTCCCTGCACCCTCCAGGGCACTTGTAACCTTTTTTTCTGGATATCCCTCGTAACTTGACGCCAAATGGAAAAGTGCATGAAATTAAAGGAGTTTTGCAACTTTGATGCGAGTTTGTTCGCCGGAGGAGCAAAGAAACTCGCCAATGTCTACGATACATATTTAAATATTTCCTTTTTAAATTAAAATTTATATCATGGTATTACCGGAACTTTTAGATCAGGGCTTTGCTGGATGTCAAAATATTTCAAGGTAAATTTTTGTTTCAGACAGTTTATGTATTTCGGTTTTAGACTCAGTTGCTGAATGCTCAATCGGGAGCGTTCATCCATCTCTACACGGAGGAAATTTTGTTGCAAATATATTTCAAATAAATACGTAATTCACAATGCCATTCACTGCTAAAAGTGACATGGCGAATCACATTCAATTCAGGTCCGGGCGAGAATGAACGAGCCCGGCTTCCCGATCGACGGCTGGGTTACCATCGACATGGTCTGCAACACCCCGGCTGACAACATCACGCTCAACGTGCACGACATCACGGTCAACAACACCCTGGTCCAGAAGGTGACCGGGCAGCAGGTGGAGGACATAAGCATCGTGGAGGAAGTTTTCGACCTGGACCGAGACTTCTACATACTGAAGCTGTCTAAGCAGCTAGAGCTGAACCAGACCTACCGGATCACCATCGACTACGAAGGGAGGTTGCAGAGTGACCTCGCCGGTTATTACTACAGCTCCTACGTCGAGAACGACGAGACTCGGTCAGTTCCGGTTTACTCGTTCCTTGGTTACGAACTAAATTAATATTTTAGTCATTGATAAGTTACTATAAATTGAAGTTTATAGCAAGAGCAAAGGCTTCACGATGAGCAATTTGTGGTTGTGTAAATGATATATGTTTACTCAATATGAACCTTGTAATTGCTATTGTAATGGATATAATGTCTTCCTTTTTCCCCATCAGCAAAGAAGGTTCTGCTGAAAGTCAACGATGACTCTCAGCAGAGCCTTGAAGCACTGCTTCAACCAAACGGCCTTGTCGACCTGAAACCCGACCTAAAAGTAATTCTTCCATCAGGAAAATCCATCAGGAAATCTGTTGAAATTCCTCATAAATGTGGCAATTTCTCTGAGTTTCATCCATAATTCAAGTCCATAATTCAATTCAAGTCTCTAGCCAGGAAAAGACAAAATAAGTGAAGCGGCCAAGAACTTAATAATAACTGCTTCCTTCAGTCTATTCATGTTCGGTGGGCGCAGGCAAAGTTTTTGCAATTTCCGTCATACCTTGTACTCATATTCCCCGAAATAATCAAATTTTTCAACATGTACATTAAATGATCAACATCAAATGATCAACAACACTCGATGCGAAGAAGTCTGGGCAAACCGAATTGAAGGAAATTAATTTCAAAGTTGTAATATATTTTACTTATGAACACACCCCCACAAACACACCCACACAAACATCCCCTCACAAACATATCCACACAAACATACACCTCATCTTTCCTCAGTGCCAAAAAAAATTCCAGAAAAATTAAAAAGCATTCCTTGAGTTAGAATTTCTCTAACTCTCGAATTTGGAGGTGATAGTTGCACCTTCAAACGGGTAAACTTTTTTTTTTTACTTTTCGAGAGAAACCATCAGATATGTGACTATCCAAATAACGTATTTCTTAACTTAATGGTTGAGTAATTTCGAGACCCAGTTGCATTCGTGTTACTTCGAATTCGGCGATTGCTTGTGCCTCAATCATGGAACCTATCGCGAAATTGAGTTTTTCGTGAAAATAAGGAAAACAAGACGTCGGAGCAAGTTTTTTTCCGTGAGAAGGGCAAATCCTGGGATGCTAAGGAATCAGCGTAAAGAATTACAATGATTTTTTTTTCTGTAGTTTGGTTGCTAGAACTCTAACAGACACACATGTGATGTGGAATTTTCTGCTGAAATCAAAGTTATTTTTCGCCGATGTTACATGTTGAGCCTTCGTTCAGTAAGTTATTTGTTTACCTCACTCTGGTGAACACCAATCGTTAAGACTGAAAAAGGTGAAAATGGAGACAAAAGGCTCGATAACCCACGTCTCCCCTTTCTCTCCCGATCCCCTCCCCATCTGTCATTTTCTTGCAGTTGTCAGATATGTTGGGCTTCTATGGGGTTTCTCCTACTATCCCCTTTCACTTCTTTTGGAGCGCTGGTCGATGGGAAGATGACAATCGATCCAATACTGCCGTTCTGAGTCTTTCTCGGGACATGATCTCAAAAAATTACGTTGGAGCGTTGGTGTCTGAAGGGACTATAGGAAGGCGACAGGAAGATTCTATAGGTGATGCAGTCTTAATAGGTGACAGGATTTCCCGGCTCGGTGGAGCAGTTTCGGTTTCCTACAGTTCCTCCTCTGTAGGTGAGAACTAAATCGCCTTTTAGCGGCTTATATCCAACCGGCCTGAATGCAACGGCCATACGCTCGTCTCCACGGGCAAAAGATGGGAACTTAGTGTTCCAATAGGTCTCCTTTCTATGACTTTTATGATAGGAATAGTGTCAGGAAGTTCGGAAAATTTGGCATAGGATGGCAAGCGAGTACAAAATGGAAGATGCCAAGTAAGGCGTTTCGAGAATGCGCCTGGCAACCCTGTCTACACTCCCAGAAGCAGCCACTCTCTCCCTCTGTCAATAACCGATCCGTCAACTATGAAGGCTGAAAGGGAACTGGCTGCTCTGGTTGGAGGCATGCCATCCAGGCCAGGCCATGCGCTGCGCATGCGCCTCGAGGTTGAGATCATGACGGTTGACGGTTGTCCACCTCCCGCTTCGATAAAATTTCAAAATGTCGAATTTGTGCAATTTTGAGGCAAATTTTCCCATAATTGAATTTTGCCCGTCTGTAGCCCATATTCATGACAATTTTCAGTGATCACGAATATTTTTTCGATTATCATCGGACAACCAGAGAGTGATGCAGACAGGCAGGCCGCGAAGGACTCCCGGTGATCTCACTCCCTCGATGAGGTTGAAAGTCTCATGAGAGCATATGCCCCTCAAGATTATGAGACTTGGCCCATCCTAAAAGCTCTGTAAAGCTTATAAGACGCACTTCATGAAGGTCATGGTTCAGTAGAGACCTGCGCGAGCCTCGATTTTTCCATGCTCGAAGTTTATCGCGATCGGATGCTTTTCCTAGCCCATAATATTCTAGACTCATATTCCGAGAAAATAAAATAAAAGGAAGCTGCTTGTATGCATGATTCTTTATTTGCATGGCCCGTGCAGGCCTCTATTGCATATGTGCTTCTTCCTCATGTTTCTTTCACTTGTTTCTGAAAGGGAAGGAAATGCTTCTCCATAAAATGAAATTTCCTTTTCTGAATAATAGAAGCAGTTTCATTCCGAGAAACTTTCTGTTTTATATATGAGTCGTAACAGTAAGGCGCTCTCTTGCCGACGTGGTCCCACCGCATTTCTCAGATGTCGCTACCAGATCCCCGCCATCGGACATAAATGTTCGAAAGGGGCTGCCTTCGCAATCGCGAATTTCGGCGCTAGAACCGCGACGAATTGAGGATTCGCAATATCACTCTTGAGGTCTTGAGTTCATCTCCAGCAAGAACCTTTAGCAAACGATGAAGGATGAAGGACATCCCACGCCTCCGCCCTTCCGCTCCTCTTTCCAGAAATCAGTCCCCATTCCGCCCCCCTTCCGTTCCCTAATAACGCACTTAATGAAGCTCAAAATTAAGATCTGGCTAACGACGCATCGTAAGAGTAGTTACAAGAACTACAAAGTTTCCATCGCTACCAGCAAGTTCTCCAGGGCAACGCTATCCCTCCTCCTCAGATTAATCCCCTGGAGAACCATAGCCTCCACCCACGCGCATCTCTCTCCAACATGCAACCTCCACCCACGGGCTCTCCTGCATGGAAATGAATGGAGACACATATAGCCCCTCCACCCACGTGCATCCTCCAGTCTGGAGTATCCGCCGATCTCGTTTTCGATGGCCGCTATGGACGAGCAGATCCGAGACGCGCTTTCCCACGAATCGAAAGGGAATCGAGCCTGCGGTCGATTCGCGGGAAAGGAAACGAACTTTCCAGCGCCTTCTCCTTCCGGCTTTTCCTTTTGCTGGTGTGATTAATTTGCCTGGAGATTAATGCCTGTTGCTTCCTCAATACCCTGGCTTTAGGAGTCAAAATAACTTTTTCTCCTGTATTTTCATATTTTACGTTTTACTTGTTTTTATTTGTTCTTATCACAGGCCCCAGCGCGCATTTCCTCATGAGATGAATTGCAGTTACTCATCATCGTCTTCTTATCGCGATGTCGGAACGACTCCCTACGCGATTCATGCGGATGAAAGCACTTCTGAGAATAAATGATCTCGTTAAGAAGCGCCGAGAAGAAAGAACGAGGAAAAATGCGGGGGGAAAAACGAATAATCTAGAGGAATATGAGAAACTGAACGGGAGGAAATAATGAAGCTCGTCAACGCGTTTGCCTCCGACATTTAACACCCACATTCGACCGGCACATTTCTCCCCAATTTTTTTTTTTTTATCGATGAGAAGGAGGGAAAAACGAGCGAGCGGCGCGGCAGTCGCTTTCCCCCGGAGGTTCCTGACCCTGCGCGCTGGGCGAGGGAGGACCCTCGAGGGAGGACACGCGAGGGAGGGCCTCTCCCTCCCTCAGTCGCAGTGATGGAGTGGAAGGCTGTGCGGTACGGGGCGGTGGGAGCCGCGGTGCTCGGTCTCGCGGCCGTGACCCTGGCGACGCTGCTGACCTACCACTTCGCGCCGTGTCCGGGGATGACTCCGAAGGAGGGGCGGGAGGGGCGAGGGCTGTTCAGAGAGGACTTCCCGATCTTTGCTCCGCCCGACCCGCCGAAGGACCTGCGCCTACCCAGACACCTGTTTCCCCTCGAGTATCACCTCCGCTTGATGCCGAAATTCGATCCCGTGAACGGGTTCCCCATAGACGGTCGCGTCGAAATCCTCGTCGAATGTCGCGAGAACGGTCGCAACGTGACGCTTCACGCGCGGAACATGACCTTCTACGAGGTCCGCGTCTTGGGCAGCGATCGCGAATTCGACGTCTTGGACGTGGAATACGACAATGAGCGGTCCTTCGTGATTCTCCATCTGGATCAGGATCTTGTGGCGAACGAATCGTACGCGGTATTGATCGAGTTCCGCGCCGAACTCACCACGGATCTCGCCGGTCTCTACAGAAGCACGTACAGAGAACAAAATTTCACCAGGTATGACAACGGCACTTTCCTTTATTTTTAATATTGTAATACTGTTTCGTTTACATCCTAAAATAGTAGTTCGTGTAATTGATATGTTCATATTGTCAAGTACATGAGTAATTCTTTCTCTTGAAGCACGATAATCTCACGAAATTCCTCGGTGAGTCGAGCTTAAAAAACGGATGTGACCCCATCCGCGTCTTCTGCTCGTTCCACTACAGCATCCGAGCACACGCGATCTCTGGAGATGAAATTGTGTCTCTCACGCATTCATAGCGGTATTTCCACATGAGGGGATCCCCATTTGTAACGCCCTCCTTTCCCTCTCGACCGCGGCGAAAGCGAGCGTCATTATCACACGCGTGCTCGATTCCCCTTGTGTCGCACCTGGCGAGGGGATGAGGGACGTTTAAAGGTCGGAGTGAAGGGAGGCGCCGGGGAGTCTCATTCATACATCCATTGATATTCATTCATGCGTCGGCATTCATTCATGCGTTGGGATTCGTTCGAGCGGGAAAGGAGGCTCCCCGAGAGACGCGTGGATGGATGTTGTCAGATCGGCGGAGCCGTTCTGTGGAGAGAATATCGACCCGCTTCCATTCTTTTGATTTTTTCGTTTGTCGCTTCGAAAAGAGGGGAGAAAGTGGTGCAGAAATGTTTGTCGATGGAGAATCTGACGAGATGCTGTCAGAGATGTCTGAGCAGGGGCGGTAGTCACCGAGGATGGACGTGGAAAAAAAAAAGTGTCCAGTCATTGAATTTCTTGCTCATGAGGTTGTGAAGGGAGTGGATGTAGCGAGACGTTCACGCACAGAAATAGGTGGATTGCGTTCGGGCGTGAAAGGCGAGATGTGAGGGATGGGGACCGGTCCGTCACACCACGCGCGTCCACGCCAGCAAAAGGTGGGCATGTCGGTACAAAAAACCGTCGTTATAAAATAACTCGAGAAAGAGGATGGTTATCCGGTACCGGCGATTTCACGTTGAGAAATCTGTGTAATGTCTGGTGTGGACACGCGTTGCGTGACCGACCGGTCCCGTTCCTCCAAATCTCGCATTTCACGCCAGGATGCGATCCAACTATGCCGTCCTTTTCGACTGGGCCTACTCGTCATACTCTGCACGTGAACGTCTCTCGATATCCACTCTCTTCATATCTGTCTTGACGAGACATTCAGCGACTATTCGCATCTTTCGCTTCACTCTCATTCTCCGTGGCTACCAGCTCTGCCCTTCAGCAGACTGGGTACCCCTTACAAAAAATTTCCCCATAGGTAAAATTGGGATGGTGAAACTGAGGTAAAAAACGGTTTTTCCCTTATCTCTCAACCTGTCAGAAGACCCTTCAGGTTAAGATTAGGGAAAAAAGCGGTGAAATTCGAACGAACGAGGGGGTAACTTTTTGTCTGGGGTTCACTTCCACTAAATATGGGGAGGATGGGGGGTAGGAACGTGTGCGGCTATGTGTCTGGCATCATCATGTCAGGTTTTCCACGTGCCAACATTTCTGCCATGACTATTCGCCTCTCTCGTTTTGGAAATCGGAGCCGCGTTGACTTTTTTTTAAATGCAGAGAATGCTGATGTCTCGCATCGGGTTTAAAATGTTTACAGTTTAGGGAGCGGCCGAAATTAGCGTTTCCTGACAGCTTCACATCTGAATAAGTTATTGAGGTTGCACTTGGGTATCATTTTCATGTGGAAAATATTCGATGGAGTTTGTACTTCTGCTGTTCGGAAATGTGCGAATGCAGCTGGGGATTTCCGAGTCCAGTATACTCGTACGGCAATATCCCATCGGCAGCTAAAGAAACAAACTAAAGAAACAACAGAAACTGTCCTAGACAAAGAGCTTTCCTGTACATACGGAAAACTTCATTTACGAAATTTACGAAAAATGTTAAGTCTAAAATTGCTTACCGAATTTAAAAGAATTAAGTAATTAAGTTATTGATAAAGGAATTTGATCATGGCATCGTTTCAGACAGGAGATCAAGAAAATCCTTAACCTGACTTAATACCTTGGATGACAGTGTTTCCCAAATAGGCAATATTGCCAAATCTAAATTTGGCCAACTTTTGGCAAAACGTAGCAGTGACTCATGGTAAACGTCTGCTTAGAGAAACTAAATAAATTTTGAAGAATCTTTGGATTTGTCCCTGTCCCCTCTTTCTCCCTTTCTCCCTTTCTCCCGAGCGCAGAATCAGAATTTTTACTATCATAATCAAGTTCCGAGCTTGAAATCGATGCTAAAGTGTTGATGCGGTGATGGTGATGGTGATGGTGCTGAAATCTTGATGCGATTCATTTAATTTCATTCTTTTGTTACGGAAAAGTATGAGGAAATTTCGCTGTTGAAAACAAAGCGCTGTAAAATAAAACGGGAGAAAAAGCAGTCGTTCGCGCTTTCGATTTCGTCACAGACACTTTCCCGATTTCGCACCTGAGACGTGCTTCGGTTGAATTCGCTGTATGTGAATGAATATGTGAATGAATGAGGAGTTATTTAGCAGTTATTTTATGATTAGGGCGTGCCTTTGAGGATTGACGTGTTGGTCGGCTTTGGTTCCTGTCGTTGGGGCCCAGAAACCTTCAAACCTTGTATTTATCGGCCGATGTGAAGCCAGTTTGAAATTTGTCGCGATTGCGCTTTCGGTGGCGCTCACCCGCGCGTTTCCAACAGTATCTATGGGTTTCACTTCCGGGACTGGCTTTCGCTTCTGTGAGGATATATATGAACTTTTATGTGAACTTTATACAAAAGTCGAATGAATTCTAAATGCTTCTCTAAGCCCATGTCCCGCGCGAGAAGAATCACTGAGATTTATCCTCGTGGAATTGATCAAACAAAGGCAAGCATGCAGGCATCGTTCATCTCAACTGCTACCCTTCAAACACGCCTCTGCACCTACACCCCTCTGCACCTACACCCCTCTGCACCTACACCCCTCTGCACCTACACCCCTCTGCACCTACACCCCTCTGCACCTACGCCCCTACTGGAGGTGAATCAGAAATAAAACCGCTTTTGTGGTTCCCAGGGGAAAATAAATGGAAACTTTCCTTCGATGAGGAGCATTTTGCTCCCGTTCCGTCAAAAGGCTCCATGCTAGCAGAGCTTATCTCATGGGATCGAAACTCACCAGGGCAACGGTAACCATTTGGCCATTTTAGCCATTTAGCCTCTGTCCTCTGTGGCCACTTGGAATGGATTTGATCCCAATTTTGTCCTCATGACGACATCCTTCAAAGAGGACAATGTTAGACAATTTTTAATGAGGAAAGCTGCATCGCCTCATTTCCTTTCTGATGTCCTGGACTATCTTTAGAATTCCCAGACCTTAGGAGCACCTTGCTCGATCTCCATGTCACCTCCATTTTTTCATGTCAACATATTTTTCCATTTTTCCATCCAGGAGAAAAGGGATGCCCATCAGATACATTTGCGAAAACTTGGCCGTTTTCAATTAAATCTGAAATTTATTCGCATCTTCCACACCAAATATGTTCAACTTCTGAACTGTTGGACGACCCTGTACGAATGACTGTTTAAGCACCCTGTACAAACGACTGTTTCAGGTACTTGGCGGTAACGCAATTCCAAGCGACGGATGCCCGGCGGGCGTTCCCGTGCTTCGACGAGCCGAACTACAAGGCGAAATTCAGAGTCGCCCTCGGGAAACCCGAAGGACCGGAGTGGGTCGCCCTCTCCAACATGAATTCCTCAGGGACAACCCCCGTGTAAGTGAGCCGCAAAGGGTCGGTGATTCCTCGAAATGGATTAATTCGAGGGTGGGGGAGCTTAGGAACAGCCGTTAAGGGGGCTCGCCAACAAAATCGCTAAATTGAGACGAATTCGATGAAGTGGAATGAGGGAAAACTCCATGCACGAAATGGCAACTATTTTCAAGAGGGTTAATTTGCCGCTATGGATGAAGGCGACTCCCATGAAATATCTTTAAGATCCCCTTCATCAAGAAGGGAAGGAATCGCACGGCGCAAAATTGCACAAATGGGGAGAACTTGCTTAGGCACAACATGCGAAGGGGAGATTTGACAGGCTTCATAATCCGAAAAATACTGATTAACCTGCCCTGTGCCAACACAGTCAATCTGTCGACTCCATACCGTTTCGCGGCGACATCGACTCGTGTCATTGAAAGTGCGGCTCTCTGGGACGCATCTAAGTCTGTTTCAAAATTGGTATTGAAGAAAACCAAAGGGAAGCAATCTGATCATTTCAATTCGAGAATGTGTCGATGCAGAGACGAGCTTTCCGGTTACGTGTGGGAGCAGTTCGAGACGTCGGTGCCGATGAGCACTTACCTGGTGGCGTTCGCCGTGGCCCGGTTCGAGAGCATCGACAAGACCGCCACAGAAAGAGAGATTCCGTTCAAGGTGAGTGGAGGCTGCGAATGGAGTTTAGTGATACATGAATAAATAAATAAATAAATTCATTGCTCGAGAATAAAAATCATAATGAAGTGTCTTGTTCGTTGTTGTTCCATGAATTTAGAAAGAAATGTGAATACTTGCGCTTTGAAAATTTTAAGATGTCGCTTTTAGCCCTGAATACGGACAAATTTTCCTTCTTAACATTTTTCACCGCGAAGCAAGAGTAAACGTGAAAGCGTTGAAAATTGGGCACAGAGGATCCTCAGTGCAGCAGGGATTTAATTCATCAGGAAGTTTTTTTTAATTTGCTAAAGCACGAAATTTGTTGTAATTTAGGTATGGGCCCGCCCGGATATGATCGACTACGGCCAGAAGGCCGCCGAGTACGGCCCGGCCATCCTGGAATATTTCGAGAGATATTTCAACATAGGGTACCCGATGCCCAAGATGGACATGATCGCCCTCCCAGACTTCGCCGCCGGCGCCATGGAAAACTGGGGACTTATCACCTACAGGTAGATGATGCTGGTTTTACTGTAGTTTATCCAAAATCCAGCAATAATAAATTTTCTATTCGTCCCATTTTTATTATACCGACGCATCTTTCACGAATCACATCAACGTACATATTGTATATTTTGTTCAACGTGCAAACTGTGTTAGAATAAAAAATGTTCCCCCAAAGAGAGGAATACCTGCTATACGAGGAGAGCCAGACCCCAGCGGCAACCCTTGCGAGGATCGTCTACATTATTGCCCACGAGCTGGCCCACATGTGGTTCGGGGACCTGGTGACTCCGGAATGGTGGAATGATCTTTGGTTGAACGAGGGTTTTGCTTCCTACGTCGAGTATCTCGGGGCCAACGAAGTCAGACAGCCTGCCTTACCCAATTTCATTTTTTAAATATTTTACATCTTAATTTTACATCTCAATTTTCTTAATTGACAGGTGGAGCCTGGCTGGAAATGGATGCAGCAATTTGTCTTCAGTGAGCTCCAGGACGTGCTCTATTTGGATTCCCTCCAGAATTCCCATCCCATCTCCGTCGACGTCTACAATCCGGATCAGATCACCGAGATCTTCGATCGAATCTCCTATGCCAAAGGTAAAAAACATAGCCTATTCCGAGATTAATTTGAAGAAGAAACTAGCAAATATGAATCCAATGGCTCGTTTTTACCGTTTGAGCGGTATTGACACCATACGTTGGCGGACCTGACAAATGCGGTTTTTTTCCTTTGACCCGTCATTTTCTTTTCTTTACCTAAGAAATCGCTCAAGAAAAATATATTTTTGCCGCTGAAATTTATCACTTTTCATGGAAATTGATAAGGTTGATCAAATATTTCCCATCGAATGGTGTTAGCAAATCTGCTAACAAACTATCTATCTATCTGTTATCTATCTATCTGTAAGCTATCTGTTAACAAACCTGCTTTCATCTGGATAATATGAATAGGAAAAAATATAAAATATATATACCTGGGTATATATAAAGATAGAACTGTCGTAGCACGATAAACATGGAGCGCGTGAGCATTGTACAATTGTCGATTTCAACTTATCTGGACCGATATTCGTACCTGGGTCATTCAACGCCAAATCGACCAGCGAGTGAGCTCGACCATCACGGATTTTCACGAAAATCGGCACCAACGAAGAGGAATCGTTTTAAATGAAATAAACAAATTCATTTATCTCTTCCACAGATCTCCAGATGTATGTATTTTAATGTGATCTTATTTTCGCTTCCAGCGCCTAAACGGACTAGAACTGTGAAAATGTTTCTGGAATAACTTCCTCTCTAGTTATTATATATGCTTCACTTTGGTGTTATTTTAATTGTGAGATTGCCCTCTTTAAATTAATTCCAGACACTACTCTCCAAGGCTGAAGCAAGAAGTTTCATTTTATCAGTTTGATCGAGTTCAGTGGCCAATACCGACACTTGCAACCTTGGGAATTCGTTGCTACAATATGTTATTTAAAGGAATATGTTATGCCAAATCTAACGATGCCAAATTCAAGGTTGGCACTCAATGGCTTAGATATGACTATTTATCGTGGCAGTGCCAAAATTCTAATTGATCGAACACCTGGACAGATTTCAGGACTAAAATCTGTACTAGAACTTCTATCCCTTACGGAAATGTCCTATAGGAAACCTATAGTTATTTCTTATAAGAAACCTATAGTTATTTCTTATNAACCCTACAGGTCCTATAGGGAACCTATAGGCCTTATGGGGAACCCTATTGGTTCTATGGGGAACCCTATATATTCTATAGGGGGATCTATGGGGTATATAGGATCCTATAGGAATCCTATAAGACATTTTCGTAAGGGATGAATCTAGAGTTATAAAATTTTCTTTTAAATGTGCACGTTATGCCCCTTCAAACGACACCAAACCTAATATTGGCGCTCAATTGCTTCATGAGATGTGACCATTTAATGAGAACAGGGGTCCCGGAAGGATTCGCAAGGGAATCATCGGAATTTAGCACTGTATTACGCCTTCCAATAGGTGAAAACATTCTCGATTTTTTAAAATTCTATTCCAGTCTATATGGACACTGGGAGCGAAAATTAGATCACATTAAAATGCATACATCTGGAGATCTGTGGGAGAGATAAAACAATTGGTTTTAATAGCTTCATTTAAATCGATTCCTCTACGTGTATACCGACTTTCGTCAAAATCCGAGATGGTCGAGCTCACTCGCGCGTCGATTTGGCGGGAAGAGATCCACCTTGCAAAAGTTACTGGTGAATACTTGATATGTGAATATAATTGCACGTGGACAGGTGCGTCGATCATTCGAATGATGAATCACTTCCTGACGGAGGAGGTGTTCACGAATGGGGTTAGCAAATACCTCAAGGAATTCGAATACCAGAACGCAGTGCAGGACGACCTTTGGGAGCACTTGAACGACGAGGCCAACACCATGCAAATCGTCGATCTCCCGGCCACGGTCAAGGAAGTCATGGACACTTGGACCCTGCAGACCGGTTACCCTGTCGTGAACGCCATGAGGGATGGTCAAAATGTCACCGTCAATCAGGTGCGTTTTCAGACAAATCTCGTCCTCGTCAACTTTCACTATGCATAGATTGACGTGTGTATCTTGAATGTTTCTTCCAAATCCATTCTTACCAAGGCATTAATAATTAATTTAATCTTTAATTTGGTTGTTCAGTATATCTCAATTAATGAATATAAGTTGGATGGTGAAAATGTACCATAGTAATAAACAGTGAAAGAGCTTGCTCAGAGTATATTTTATCAAGGGAAAGGTTCCTCTCTGAAATTTTTTATTGGTCATCGTTGGAATACGAGACAAGAGGACGAGACAGAATTTAGGTCCGCTATCTTTTCTTACTTTTCTGCTTCTGTTGAGTTCATTGCCTTACATTTACAACATACATTTCAATAAAAGTTCACATCACTCTAAGCGCAGTGGAAGCTTCGATCAAAACGAAATCTAAAAAAATCTCTCATCTTCGGTAAAATACTGTGGACTGCTTGGACAGACCGCATTTCGAGCAGCCCTGAAATGTCCGTCTCACAAAAAATCGCCACCAAACCGTGAAGAATACCTTCATTCGGTTCATCTGCTTCTGCTGATTTTCAACGCATAGTAAATCGTGCCAATCCACGCGACAGAAACGGTTCCTGCTGGACTCGACTGCGACGGAGGAGACGCCGACCTACTGGTACGTCCCGTTGAACCTGGTCCGGTCGAGCAACGTCGCGGAATTCGATTCGACGAACGCCACGGTTTGGCTCTACCCCAATGCGTCCAGCGTCGAGTTCACGCTCGACCAGGACGATGAGTGGTACATCATCAACGCCCAGCAGACCGGGTACTACCGGGTCAACTACGACGAGAAGAACTGGGAGGCTCTGAACAAAACCCTCAGTGAGAGTCATGAAGTTATCCATGTCATCAACAGGTTCGTTGAGTTGATTGTATCGATCTGTTTTCGTTGTCGTGTTGCAGTCTGTTTCCTTGTCGCAAGCGTTCATAAATTGTATAATAAAATATAGCAATCGTAAATATGCATTATAAAAGGAAAAGCGAAGCACACCAATGTTATATACTTATTGGAACGAATTGCGTGACAGATATTGTCTGTATCCTTCAATGAACATTTATTGTCTCCAAGCATCTAAACTATCTCTAATCTCAACAGTCGCATTTCCTTGCAATGTCAAAGACATGAACATGTCTTGAATTAACATACATAAGGAAAACGCTGTCGCTCTTTTTTATTTTTGGAACACCATGTATAAAAGGTGTGGCGAACGACTATCACCTGAAACATCTTCTATCACACTAGAGCTACTTTGACGAAACTTACGCCGGGCATAGATAAATATGTTTCCAACAGATCCTAGGCATTTCATCTAAATTCCTCTTGTTGCAACAGTGTTATTAGCAATATTAAAAAAGAAGTGGGATTTAGGACTTGGACCAGTGCTCAAGCTGGAAGCGGAGGATATTCCCGAGCTCTCTGCTTCCATGTCATATTGCATCCAACTTCTCTCCTTTTGATTTTTTTTTGTAAGCAGGCATTTTTCTTGCAATTGGTTTTGCTTCTTCCTTGATGAAAAATGGATCAATAATTACCAATACCGAGAATTTTCTCGTAGTTTTCATATTTTCACTCGGTTTTCGTCGAAGGAGTCGGGTGGAATCTGGTCATTCCGATGTCATTCCAGTCCCCTGCTCAATTTTGGTTCTTGCTATATTTTGAATATTTGCTTGCCGCCTTGGTTGGGCCACAATTTTTTGGGATGCAATTTCGAAAGACTGTCCGGTGTGTGTTGGCACGGTGCGTATATTAAGAAAAAAGCTGCAGCAATAGTAGGTATGTGGAATAAAGTCGCTGGTCTTTCATACCATCCCCTGTAAGTTTGGCGTTTCAAACTGATGACAAAGATATTTGCAGCCTTGTCCCAACAGGAATAGTATTAAATTCACACCCGTCCCACAAGTCTCACCAATCCCACAAGCCACGACCACGACACATTCTGTCCATTCCAGGGCTCAAATCCTGGACGACGCCCTGAACCTGGCCCGGGCGGGTCTCCTCAACTATACCATCGCCCTGTCCCTCACCCAATACCTGGGGCAGGAGGAGTCCTACATCCCCTGGGCGACCACGGCCGACAACCTCAGCTACCTTCGGCGCATGCTCGAAACTTCTGGGAAATACGAAGAATACCGGGTAGATCATCGGCAGCATGGAATTACCTAAATTTCACTAATTTCGAAAAATGCGTGTCATTTTAAACCTAACACTGATTTTTTTCTATACATATTTGTTTAATGTTCGCATCAGAAGGGTTTTATTTGTCGATTTTTAATTCAGATGTGTCCACAGTATGCAATCTTCACTTCAATTTTGGGTCAAACTATTTTTCTAATTCCTCATCCAGGCCTATATCCTGAGCCTCATCAAAGATGTGCTATCGAGAGATGGCTTCAACTTCCCCGAATTGCATGACGTGCCTGCCAACGGGAACTACTCGGACGTGACGGAGGTGATGTACAATGAGCTGATCTGGGGAGCTGCCTGTCAGATGGGGGAACCCCGGTGCCATGGCCATGCCACCGAAAAGTTCAGATATTGGAAGGGAAATTACAGCCAATCTGTACCGGACCAACCCTTGTGAGTTTTGGAATTCGTCATCGGGGATGGGAAGAGGGCCGTCAGCCGAAAGTGGCCTTCGACGCATTCAACATTCTCAGGTTTAAGCTTTTATTTGGGATTCCCAGGCCAATTTCAATTCGAGGTTGTTGTAAGCCGCATTTCATTTCGCGATTCGTGCTGCACAATTTTTTGTATTGAATCTAGAGGATGCAAAATTCCAATTGTGACTTGATATTTACGCGTCGGAAAGAAACTTGATAAGAATGTGCCTATATCTTCTTTATCTGTCAAATCCCGAGGCAGAACGCTTTTCGCAATTTGGCAGAGATCAGCCATGGTGGTTATCAGAGGAGTATATCGAGCTCTTACCTCTCGAGAAAATGGTGCCAGGAAGCATCCGAAGGGTCATCCTGGTGTGAAATTTAGACCGTAACCATGGTGAGGTTAGCCCGTTAGCCGATTACCTGAACTTACAATGACGGATCTATGCTAATTGTTCCCAAATTAGTTGGCAGCCAAAGGGAGCGAACTAGCAAAAAAACAAAAAAATACTGTTGCTTCTTAAAGGGGAATAGATGCTTTTCAGTGAAATGGCCGAACAGTCACTCATCTGCTGAATAAAAACGGGCTACAGCAAAACTTTGTGTTGAATGTGTTCGAATGTCATGGAGACGCACGTAGCGTAAATAATTTCAATTTTACTTTTAAAGAATGTGGAAGACGAAAATTTCATTGTGTTTATTTAGGAAAGACCCTAATTGAAGAGTGGGAACTCTCGTGGGTCAAATGTTCCATTAATACCCGTCCCCCACACACTTCTTCCCACACACACTACTTCCTCACACATACTGCTCCCCACAAAATCACTGCTCACCTCAAACGACATCCCCCACACACTGCCTCCCCCCACATGCTGCCCCACACAGACTGCTGGTCCATCGCCCTCAACCCCCCCACACACCGACGTGTATTTCAATACTTCCTGCCCACATCAAAACCCTTTCATCTTCGACCCAAATTGTGATCCTGAGTCCTTTCCTCCAAGCCTGAACCCGAACATTAAGGGACTCGTGTACTGCGAAGGAGTCCGCTCCGGCACAGTGGAAGATTGGGATTTCGTCTACGAGCATTACAACAAAACCAACTACGCTGCCGAGAGGACGCTGCTCC